TGTGGGGTCGTGGTGCCCTTCATGCCCGCAGAGGGAGAGGCTAGTTATGCAGAGGCGACAAAGACCACACGGCGAATCGAAACACAGCGTCGGCATGCACAAGAGATGCGGGACAAGGCGTTGGGTGCCGTGCACGATCTGGAGCTGCGCATCCCCATCGACACGCGCTGGATCGAGGGGGGTGAGAAGTGGGAGGCAGCTGCAAGGATGGCCCACCGCCACCGCTATCAGCGCGCACTCGACCACCTCGAGGGACTCGTGGTCGCACGCATGTTTGAGCTTGCAAAGTGCCATATGTCAGGCACGGGTGCGTTACTACAACTCTTTTATTGACTGCTGAGGTCTGACTGGATTTCAGGGTATAAATTGCGCAAACACATTGCGAAAGCCTTGCAAGCGTGTTCAAAGGCGATCAAGGCAGCAATCGTTAGATACAACGATGCTGCGGAGGCGATGGAGCCCCCGATGCCAACACTCGACTGGGAGGAGGTAGTGGAGTGCGCATTCCTCGCAGATTTTGATCTGCTGCGAGAAGGAAGGCACAATATTCGGCAGGAACCCTGGGCACTGCCCGCCGGTTGTGCCGCCATGGACCAGCACTTCAAACTCCTCCGTGCAGATGAAGAAATTCAGCGGCTCAACCTGGAGATCCACCGATTTGTAACCTACATGGTTGATGAGGAGGCTTTCCTTGCGCGGGAGGAGGAGTGTCTACGAACCGAGGGGAACGAGGGGATTGCCCAGCAAGTGCGCTTGCTTCGGATGGAGCGGGGGCGGTTTACCTCCCTTCATATGAAGCGGCTCGTGAAGTTGAGCAAGCTGCCCGGCTTCACGGGGAACATCCTCCCTGGCGTCAGCGTCTCGAAGGAGCGACACACCCCTGTCGCGTGGGACGTGGAGATGGTCGCCCCGCCACCTGCGGATGTCGTCTGCCCTGTGGGAGTCGAGCTGCCGGCATTGGATGAGGAAGAGGGGGAGGACGATGACGACGAGGAAGGCATCAACGCCCTGACCGCCCTGATTCAGATCGTGCACATCTCTGGTGACGGCGGCGCCGTAATTGAAGACAGCTAGGCAGTTATCTTATATTCTCACCTATATACATACATTTCTAGCCAGGTATGTAGTGCTCCTACTTTGTATCACTGTGTGGAATATTCCCCTATCTTTTGGTGATTTTTTGAAGGTTGTTGAGGACGGAATGGAGGACTTGGGCGCGAGCGGCGGCGACATTGATGCGGCTGATCGCGTCGGGTGCACGCGCTCGGCCGCGTCCCACGGCCGCCTGTGATGGGAACAGACGGCAAGGTTGATGGACCGGCGCACGCCCTGCCCCCCGGTTCCCGACGCCTTCCCGTATTTCCGCTTCTAGGAAGTGTTTTATTAGAAGGTTCTTAGAGGGAATTACCAGGTAATTACCCGGTACACGGCAGAAAAGCCGAAGGCCCTCTAATTAGAAGGGGACACCACATGGGTCTCCCCTTCTAATTAGAGGGGTTGTTTGGCCTGTACAGGTGGAAGGCCAGCGGAGGAGGCGAAGGGGTAACCCAATTAGGAAAGGTCGCAGCTCCCGAATAGAAGCCGATACCCTTCGCCTCCCTGGGACCTCTTAGGTAGGTTTTACTATTACAAAATAACCCACCTAACAGGCCCTTTATGTAAGTGGCACCTCAGTCCCTTAGGTGTGACGACAACGACAACGACTGTCAGCCAGCAGCCAGTAGAAGAAGCGTGTTTGGTGTATCTTTAACTTGAGTCGGAGTCGGAGTCCATTACTTGAGTATCTCGGACTTTCTCTCCCGACCGGAGACGAGCATGTCATCAAACTCCAATCCATGCGGCAGTGAAGAGACCTCGATCGCGACGCAGAATCAAAAACCGCACAAGAGACGCGGTCACGGTGCGTGTCAGTCTTACGGTTATACCCCGCATGCCGTCAAACTCTAACCCAGCCTAACCCGGCCTAACAACATCCCCGCCCACACACACCACGCCCCCTGGTCCAGCTGGATCGCGACGACGCGCGACGCCCTCCTCATCCCTCGAGGGCCACGCGCCGCGGCCTCATCCCGCGCATCACATCAGCAAACCCTGATTTTCGCTGTAGCAGCTGTAGTTGGCTGTAGTTGACTGTAGTTTGGCCAAACTATGTAGCTCTGCATAGTGCTCTGTAGTAGAATAGGGGCTCTATGTATCTACATGTAGCTGGGGGTCTGGGAGATCTATAACAGTACACATGTTTCATGACTATTATGTGAGTGGTTTCATTATTCGACAAGCCCAGCAGTTGAAGGACAGAATAAGACTCAATAAGTGTCTGAATTTTTTTGGTCTATACCACTGTGTCTGGGAAAGTATTCTGCGTTTTGTGAGTTAACCGAGCTGTTGATGGAATATTTACCTCAGACAAGTCTTGTCTCGTTTTTCAAGCTCTACAACTTTGGTTTATGGTCTATTTTTACCCAAAATGTGATGTTAGGGTATGGTGGTCATTTTTTTTTCACAAACTTGAATCTACATAATAACATGATCACTGTCCTCAGAATAATAAAAGTGTGAAGCAATGTTGCAATGTTGCAATGAGACGCACTAATAGGGCCAGAGCCCAAGGGCCTATGAAGCCATCCCAGAACCACTACTTAACAATAGACCTTTGGTCTAGTGGTTTTGTGTGTTTCCTCAATTTCTCTGCTCGAGCTAAGGAGGTCGTGTGTTCGAATCTGTCTGGTAGCATTTAATTTCTGCTTGTAGTAATTACTTAGTCACTAGTTAAATCGTAATAGATGTTCTCTGTTAGTGAAACAAAATGATAAGTAACTTACCGACTCAGTAGTGACTCCGAAGTGAGGTACTTATCAAAATGATTAACTTTTATTGTGAATCTGAGCTGCCTGTTGTACACAGAACTACAGAGCACTACATAGACTGCCTGAGAACTACACAGCACTACATAGCTAAAGGCCTTCACTACAGCCACTATAGGCACTACAGCAGCTATGGGTTGCTATGTAGAGCTGCATAGTGAACCCAGGGTTTGCTGATGCACCCGTCGCCGACTCCGACGCCGAGCGCAAGATGATCGTGTCGGGTAGCACTTGCCTACTGCGTGTAACTCCCACCTTGGACAGATACGCCCCCGCCCCGACTCGTTTCTCTTCGTGCCTTTCCACTTCATGATCATGTACTTCGTCTCAGGCTCGGCCCCCTTCCCTGTCTCTTCTGGGCATCCCACTTCATCTCATCTTATTATGACTGCGCTTGGATCGGCTACTCCGCCCTCTATTGGCGCATGGGCAGTCATCTTTGTTTTCCATCTGGATGCGCCCATCGGACCGCACCGGCGAATCTGTAGCAGATGCGGCGTCTGCATGGCATCATCCTTTTGGTGCTCGAGGCGCGGTGGGGCACATATGTCGTGGGTCTTGCCTGGTAGGGCGCATTCTGGACGCGGTCTTTCTCCCCCTTGTCTTATTTGCTCTTTCTTTTCTTTGTGCTGGGACAAGGTGTTGCAGCGTACATGGTGTTCTCATGCATACTCTTTTTGATCCGGATGCACCTGCCGGACTGCATTCGGTGGCGAATCTGTAGCAGATGTGGCGTCTGCGCGGGCGGATCCCTATCTTTTTGATGCTTTCGCTGAGGTATGGGTGGGGCGTATGTGTGGCTGGTACACCGTAACGGTGCGTGGCGATCGAGTGCACTGTGAGAGAGCACGCGAGGACTCCACTCACGGGCGGCGTGGACTCGGAGCTATGCGGATTCCTCTTTCTGCGTGATATAGTGCTGATCCAGTTCGTCCTGCGCCGGGCTCCACGATGTCAGGCTCGACATGGTCAGGCCCCTGATGGAGCCTCCGAGTCCATATCCGAAGGCGCGCGGTCCATCATCAATGATCTGGCGCCAGTGTGATTTGCTCAAACGTTCCGAATCCACGAAGAGCAGCAAGCAGGGCGTCGTGGACTGCTGGCCTCGCAGAGGCCTCACGCCCACACCCACCCTCTCTGCCCTCGGATCCGGCCTCGACCTCTCAGCCACGCCACGCCTTCCCGATCTAATCCGCGGTCGGGGCAGGATCATGCAGCGGGTGGGCGGGCCCTGTGGGACTCGGGGAGCTCCCCGTGCCCCTCTGGCGACCTCTTTGGTTTTTGGTCATGCGCTCGGTTGGGCCGAGCCTCGTGCTGCGCGGACGAAGGGCGGGTGCGTGTCTGACCTCCCAGTTGCGTTCCGCTCGCCCGTCTTCCATGCGTATGCGTCAAACAGCACTCCCCCAAACGCAGCCCCCGCAGCGGGGTCCCCGGGTACGCAAACAGTGTTTCCTGTGCGGGCGCGAACAGGTGGTGGCCTGTTTGCGGCGAGCCAGTGGTACCCAATGCGGATTCGAACCGGGAACTTCTGCAGAAAGGATCATATAAGATCACGACCCACTTCTTGCGGACACGATACATCTCGCCATTGGGTATGTCTGCTCATTGCGGGATAGGCTTTGTGTGTAGGGTAGAATGTATTGATATAGCACACTCATGCGGAGATAGGAAGAGGCAACAAAGAAAATCTGGAAAGAAATTGAGGAGAGCTTGCAGTGTTTACCAGAAGAAAGTCCACCAACGCGCAGAAGCCGACAAAAATCGAGGCCGGATTCGCGTTGGAGAGGCCTAGGGAAAAATTCAACTTTTCCCCCCGCTTATGACCCAACCCGGAATCGAACCGAGAACTTCCGCAGAAGGTGTATGGGAAGGTACATATATACTTGTTGCAGACGCGATACATTCCGCCATTGGGTCTGTCTGTTAGTTGTGAGATGGGGTTTTGTAGGGCAGAATGGATCAAGCGAAGACAAGCAAGAGTATCAAGAGGCAGTCTGAGTGAGGAAAATCAAAAAGAATTGACGAGTCACGAGAGCTTGAAGTATTATTTGTCAGAAGGTCCACCGAAGCACAGAAGCCGACAAAAATTAAGGCCTACGGAGGAGGGGGAAAAAATTCAACTTTTCCCCCGGCTTATGACCCAACCCGGAATCGAACCGGGAACTTCCGCAGAAGGCGTATGGGAAGGTGCATCTATACTTTTTGCAGACGCGATGCATTTCGCTATTGGGTCTTGATGTCTTTGGCAGGATGGGAATGGTGTCATTGACTCAAGCTGGTGGATGGGACGAAAGGCGGGCAGAGAACATTGAGGAAATATCAAGCACATGTACAGGCAGCTGAGGAGGAACCAGGATTGAAGAGGAGTTGGAAGGAGATCTTGAAGAAGGGTAAAAAAGCCAAAACAAAACTTAGCTTGATGAAAGAACAGGACCTGGCCCGGGGTCGAACCGGGGACTTCCGCGTACATGATACAACACAACTACTAGATAAGGCGGACGCGATACCACTTCGCTACCAGGTCTTGCGGCAGTTGCATTGTCGATAGATGTAGGCAGTGGCACGGATGATGCATCAATCTGCAAAATTCGGGAAGATTATTGCGAGGCTTTTCCGAAACATGGATACAGAGAGAAGAGACCGACGTTTCACCGCAGTAGACATCATCCAGCCCGCACTCGAGAGATGGGATTAGTTTGGAGAGGAAACAGCGCCAAAAGAGAATAAAACCACAAGAAAATGTCGAAAAGCACAGAGAGGCGGTTGGAGAAACAACCAGGAAAAGGCGGTTGGAGGCACTGAATGCAGAGCAAAGGATTCGAGTTAGTTGAAGTCGATGGTAGTGAAATCGGCGGGATGACTAAGCACGCCACGCGGTCTCTAGTCTTTGCGATTGCCACCAGCGCCGGATCTCTTGCGCTTGCTGCGACGCCGGATTGCTGAGGAAAGTTGCTGCTGAGGGAAGACTTGCAGGCAGGATATAGACGACGACGACGACTATCAGCCAGCAGTCAGCAGAAGAAGCTTCTTTGGTGTATCTTTACTTGGACGGACTGTCTCCGACTTTGTCGATCTGTTCTGGCTTTAAAAAGACTGTGGAGAGCAAGTACGACGAGGCCATACACATTGCGGATTAACAGTTTTGGTGCGCTAGTTGTACCCGGGGTGCGCGTGTCATCAAACTCTAATCTGCGCAGCATAGTAGGAGACTCGATCGCGGCAGAGCAAAGACAAGAGACACAATTAGTGTGTTACAGTTATACCCCGCATGCTGTCAAACTCTAACCCGTCCCCATAGCAGCCTACCCCGGTCTAACCCAACCTAACAACATCCCCGGATGTCCGCCCCGCCGACACACACCGCGCCCCCCTGGTCCGGCTGGATCGCGACGACGCGCGACGCGCTCCTCATCCTCGAGGCCGCGCGCCGCGGCCTCATCCCGCGCGTCACCCGCCGCCTCGCGGACGCCGAGCGCAAGATGATCGCGTCCGGCAGCGTGTTCGTGTTCGACGAGGACGAGAGCGGGATCAAGCGCTGGACGGACGGGTACTTCTGGAGTCCCAGCAGGATATTGGGGAACTTTTTGCTGTATCGGGAGACGGAGAGGCGGGGGGAGGGGCATGGGAAGCGGGGGAAGAGGGGAAGGGAGGAGGAGGGCGAGGGGGATGAGGATGAGGGCGAGTTGGATGGGGAGGAGGAGGAGGGCGAGGGAGAGGAGGTGGAGGGAGGGAAGAGGCTGAGTCGGCCCAAGACCGCGGGGGTGGATCGACATCGGGAGCGGACGCTCGTGGGCAGCTTGACGAACTCCTACAAGTTCAAGGCCGATGGGCTCATGAAGAAGGTGTGTGTCGTTGTCCCCTTCTCCTCGTCGTTCCCCTGCCCTTTTTCTCTTTCGTCTCTGTCATTCGATTTTCTGCGTACCAGGCCGCGTCCCTTCCGCCGGTCGACTCCTAAACTTGCCCTGTCTCCCTCTCTTTTGTCCTCTGGCCGCTTTCTACCTTTCTCAAAGGCGTGGGCCTGTGGGGCACGGGGAACGCGTCGTTTCTCGTCCGCCATACCTCCTTTCTCTTTCTCTTTCCCTTTCGCTTTCTTATACCATTTCATTTTCATCTCTACCCCCCTGCGCGCCCGAGCGGAGTCACGTCGTGGGATCCCCTTCCTGTGGTGCGACGCGGCACGCTTATCGCTCGCACCGTGCCGCCGCCATTTCCTGGCCCGCGCCAAACACACGCGCGGCCTGTCCCGTTCGCCGGCGCTTCCCTGACGGCGGAGGCATAGAGGGCATCGGAGATCGTCTCGGGCCCCCGTGGTGGCGTGCGCGCGGGGCCGCCGAATCGACCGAGAGTTTGGAGCGGATGGGATCGGCCCCTTGCGCGCGCGCGTCGCGCGGTCGTCCTGCGGCCCTCTCCGACGTGCGGCTGCGTGTGACCGTATTTTTGTGCGCGCGTCTCGTCTCGTCGTTTGTGCGCGGTGGGGACGGGACGCGACACAGCGCAGGTCGGGCTTGGATCCGCGACAGCGCACCCCCGCCCTCTCATGCGACTCGGGGCGTGCTTGTGGACCGCGTTCGCGACGGTGTGAGGCGGACCCTACGCGTATCCTCGTGCTACTGGTGCGGGCGCGGACGCGGGCGCACAAGGGGAGGGCGCGCGTCTTCTCTTTGGCGGCGTGCACAGTGCTCTCGCTGTTTTGTTTTCGTTCTGGGCGGGACGTCCATGTGCGCGAGCGGTCTCGATCGCGGCTGTCTGTGGTCTTCGGCATCGGGGTCGCTGCTCAGGTGTCGCGACCGAGGGTCTGGTGCGGGCGCGTGTGCGGGTGTCGCCCTCCACTCCTCGCTCTTGTCGTTCGGATACACAGCGCGTTGCCGTTATCGTTATCGTGCGGGCCTGGATCCGGGGGCGGCGGCGCACCTCGTCTCGTCTCGTCTTCTCCACCGGCTTGCATCATTCGGCATCCTTCCCTATCGTCTGCGCACGTCTCCCCGGCGTCCGTCAACCGGCGCCCGACTACGCGGATTCAGGTCTGATATCGCCGCGGGTGGGGATGTGGAGAGGCGCGCGGACCCGTTTGCGTACTGCGTTGGGACGCATCGCCGGTGGCGGCGCGATCGTCCCCGTTCCTGCGCCTCTTTGTCGTGCGCGCGCGCCCGGGTTTTCGTGCCGCCTTGGGTACGCTGCGGTCCGCGCCTGATTCGTCATCGTCTCTCGCTTATGTCGATTTGGATTTAATCTTGACTGCCGGCGTGCGCCCGAGAGCGTGCCAGGTGTGCTGGACGTAGGCGGACTGTCTGCCGGGGTCGCGGTCTTCTGGATACTCAGACATCACAATGCATAATCTGGCCGCGGAATCCTTTCCTTTTCCTCCCCTTTTTGTCGCTTCAAGTTACATTCAACTCTTCGCCTCCCCTTCCTTCCCCTCGTTCTTTTCTTCCCACGGCCACCCACCAGCCGATCGCTAACCACCTTTTCGACAGACATTCTCCCTCACCCCCGCCCTCCCTCCGCCCACCGACTCCCCCTCCACCCGCTCCCCCACCTCCGCACACTCCCCCGACTCCCCAGCGGACTCGCCGACCTTCGGCCTCCGCGGCACGCAGCACCTCATCTCATACTACTCCCCCGCAGACGTCGCAGCCGGGCGCCTCCGCCCGCCGTCCTCGCTCCCCGAGCTTGCCTCGCTCGCGATCGCCGAGTCGCTCTTGGAGCGCGCGAATTTTAGGGTGCCGCCGCGCGTGGAGATCGGCGCGGACGGGGTGAGGCGGTATTTGGGGGAGGGGGAGGAGGAGGCCGCGGCGGGGGTGGGGGCCGACGGACCACACATAAGGGCGGGGGTGGGCGTGGGGCTCGCGCGGGCGGGGGGGAGGGGGATTGTGAAAGGCGGGGGCGCGGGCGGACGGGCGGCGGGGAAGCGCGCGGGGGCGGGGGCGGGGAAGGCCGGCGCGGGTGCGAGGAGGCGCGAGGGTGGGTGTTACGTTCCCTCTCTCCCTATTCCTAATCTTGATCGGCGGCACTGACCCCACTCTCTGCATAGCCCTCGCGCTCGCGCTCGCACCCGCGCCAGTCGCCAGCACCAGCGCCATCGCTGCCCCGGCCCGCGCACAGACTCAAGGCCACGGGCACATGGACGGACTGACCGGTGCGTCGCGCTCTCCCTCCCTCCGCCCTCCGTCCCATTACTCTTGTTCTCGCCCTTGTTCTTGATACCCCTGCCTTACCCTTGACTATCCCGCACTCCCCTGTACTGTGTTCCCCTCTCCGTGTACCGATACTGCGTCCTTTCCTTGTATTTCCTCTCCTTGTTATAACATTTGCCCTTCGTCTGCCCTTGACGTACCCGGTGTTACTTGAGACACTTCATCGTCGCGCCCGTTCTTACCCTATCCTGCTACTTCGCGTCCTTGATTTCCTCTACCCTGCTCCTCCGTCGTTCCCTCCGTCGTTCCCTTCCCGCGCCGATTCCTCCCATATTCCCATATCGTATCGTCCCGTGCCGATTATCTCCCCGAAACCGCTCCCTCATTCTCCCACTCTTCTACGCGCTCCTTCCCTCGCTTCGGTCCCGCTCTCCGTGGTCTCCTCGTTTCCTTATGTTCTGTTACTCCTGCGCCACTCGTTTCTCCCTCCCATTCATCATCTTGCGCATCGCTTTCTTTGCCCCTCCCCTTCGTCCCCCGCCCTTCCATTCATCGTCTTTTGCATCCTTTCGTTGCCGCTCTACTGTCGTCCCCGTCCCCCCCTTCGTCCCCCGTTTCCTCCCCTCGTTCTTCATGCCGTGCTAACGACCCCGCCAGCTCTCGCCAACGGCGCCGCGCTCCACGCCCGCACATCGCGCTCTCCGCAGACGCCCGCGGCCGCGAGCATGACGCTCGGCGCAAACAGCAGCCTGAGCCTGCCCGTGAGCGGTAGCATGGGCTTCCCCGCGAACAGCAATATGAGCCTGCCCGCGAGCAGCAACAACAGCATGGCGCTGCCCACCGTGTCCATGACCATCGGCTCCACCGCCACCGCCACGTCCACCGCGAAGCACGCGCTGGCGGGGGCGGGGCCGGGGCCGCCGGCGAAGCGCGCGAGAGGCGACGGGCTGGGGATGGGGATGGGGACGGGAACGGGAATACCGGGGATTCGGATGGGGATGGGGATGGGGGCAGGCGCGGGCATGTATATCCCGCCGCCGGCGCGCGTGCGCACCGCGGCGCCGGGGACACCGATGCAGATGCAGGTACAGGGGCCGTCGTTGGGCGGCCAGACGCATTCGGTGGAGCAGCGCGCGGTGCAGATGCCGCAGCCAGTAACGCAGCAGGCCGCACAAGTGCAGACACGGACACAGCCGCAGACGCAGACGCCGCAGTACGCGAGCCCGAGCCCGAGCTCGAGCTCGCTGGCGGCGGCGGCGGCGGCGTACGCGGCGACGTATAGCCAGGGGACACGGTCGGGGGCGGGGTCGGTGTATGCGCAGCCGCAGTCGCAGAGTCCGCGGATGCAGGGGGAGGGGCAGGGGCAGGTAGAGCGGAGTCCGCGCCCACA